CATGATATTATTGGTGAGGATAAAATCCACATAAAATTTGACAACAATCGGGCCGGTAGTTTCGAAGATTGTCTGCATAATAAAAATTTAGACAAACAGCCCAATGGGAAACCAATTTTTTTATTATCAACACGCTTTGTTTTTCGATTCAGCTCGTCGAAATCTAACGCACTGAATTTTTTGCGAATTTTTTGGCAATTTCGTCAAAAGCTCAATTTTTCAAAATCCAATGAAAATTTTGATTTTTTTTAAAGCACCCGCGTAAATCATTTATTTTGAGATATTAGAAAAATTCGGCGTTAAAAAGCTATATTTCGAAAACCAGTGGCAGGGCCGACTTCGGATTCATTTTCTGCATCCTGCATAAACATGATTTTTTTCATAATTTTTGTCTATCCAGTTTTTCCGAAATGGAGCTAAATAAGGCCTTAACAAAAATGCTACGATTGCCCGGAATTTTCTATATCGGCCTCTAATCAAAACCACGAAAATTACCAAAAAAATTGCTTTTGTTGATTTTGACCTCCACAAGTTGTCTAGGGCTTTATTTCTTAGAAAATTCTCACCATTTTTTCACAATCGACAAAATGAAATGGGATAAATTTTGCAATATTTGAAAAATCTGGTTTTGAACCCCTATATTTCGAAGATCAGTGGCAGGGTCGACTTCGGATTATTTTCCTGGAAGGACTATCACTTGTGCATAAACACGATTTTTTTTATAATTTTTGGAAGCCCAGTTTTTGCGGAAGAGACCTAAATATGTGCTTAATTAAAATTCTATGATTGCTCTGGAATTTTCCATATATATGCGTCGAATTTGGATCCGGGGGCATCAACACACTGTGTTTTTCCATCCAGCTTGTTGAATTCTATCGCCCTGAATTTTTGGTAGATTTTTAGGCAACTTCGTCAAAAGTTCAATTTTTCAAAATCCAATGAAAATTTTGATTTTTTTTAAAGCACCCTCGTAAATTATCAAACAATTTTCTTTCATTGATTTCGACCTCCAAAAGTTCTCTATGGCTTTATTTCTTCAAAAATTTTCGCCATTTTTCCACAATTGACAAAATAAAATAGGACAAATTTTGAGATATTAGAAAAATTTGGCGTTAAAAAGCAATATTTCGAAAACCAGTGGCACAGTCGACTTCGGATTCGTTTTCTGCATCGATGCATCACTCCTGAATAAACATGATTTTTTTCATTAGTTTTGTCTATCCAGTTTTTCCGAAATAGAGCTAAATAACTCCTTAACAAAAATGCTACGATTGCTCCGGAATTTTCTATATCGGCCTCAAATCAAAACCACGAAAATTACCAAAAAAATCGCTTTTGTTGATTTCGACCTCCAGAAATTCCCTAGGATTTTATTTCTTAGAAAATTCTCACCATTTTTTCACATTCGACAAAATGAAATGGGACAAATTTTGCGATATTTGAAATATCTGGTTTTGAACCCCTATATTTCGAAGATCAATGGCAGGGTCGACTTCGGATTATTTTTCTGTAAGGACCATCACTTGTGCATAAACACGATTTTTTGAATAATTTTTGGCCACTCAGTTTTTCCGGAAGGGACCTAAATATGCCCTTAATTAAAATGCTATGATTGCTCTGGAATTTTCCATATATATATATATATATATATATATATGGAAAAAATATATATATATATATATGCGTCGAATTTGGATCCGGGACCATCAACACACTATGTGTTTCCATCCACCTCGTTGAAATCTATCGCTCTGAATTTTTGGTCGATTTTTAGGCAACTTCGTCAAAAGTTCAATTTTTCAAAATCCAATGAAAATTTTGATTTTTTTAAAGCACCCCCGTAAATAATCAAAAAAATTTCTCTCGTTGATTTCGACCTCCAAAAGTTCTCTATGGCTTTATTTCTTCAAAAATTTTCACCATTTTTCCACAATTGACAAAATAAAATGGGACAAATTTTAAGATGTTAGAAAAATTTGGCGTTAAAAAACAATATTTCGAAAACCAGTGGCGGGGTCGACTTCGGATTCATTTTCTGCATCGATGCATCACTCCTGCATAAACATGGTTTTTTTCATAATTTTTGTCTATCCAGTTTTTCCGAAATGGAGCTAAATAAGGCCTTAACAAAAATGCTACGATTGCCCGGAATTTTCTATATCGGCCTCTAATCAAAACCACGAAAATTACCAAAAAATTGCTTTTGTTGATTTTGACATCCACAAGTTCTCTAGGGCTTTATTACTTAGAAAATTCTAACCATTTTTTCACAATCGACAAAATGAAATGGGACAAATTTTGCGATATTTGAAAAATCCGGTTTTGAACCCCTGTATTTCGAAGATTAGTGGCAGGGTCGACTTCGGATTATTTTTTTGGAAGGACTATACTAACTTGTCCATAAACATATTTTTTTTTATAAATTGTGGCCACTCAGTTTTTCCGGAATAGAACTAAATATGTCCTTAACAAAATAATTGTTAAATAGGAGTATAATTTTACTTAGTGGCATTTCTAGTGGTTATAATAAATACTTGAAGATGGTTAATAACTAGCCGAAACCAGTCGTAAAAGATATTAAGGAAGATCTCAAATACGGAGTTTTATAGGAAAAATAACAGGAACAATTAAAATATGCATTTTAAATCCTTTAAAAGTTTATTTAATTTATTTAGAATAATTTTGAGATGACGTCAATAATTTTTTGCAAGGGATAAACAAAATCGTTTTTTCATTGATGATATGACCATCCTAATCGACATTTATTTAGTTGTTCCTTTTAATTCGTATATGAAACTCTATATTCAGGCCTTAATAATAACAACATTTGTCCGAAAAATAAAGCAGGGTTTTCAGTAATTTCTAATTTTTATTATAAGTGTTAAATAGAATTTTACTTAGTGACAATCTTGTTATTATAAATACCTGAAAATGATTAATAACTTAGCCGAGATCGGTTGTAAAATATATTAAAAGTTTATTTGATTAGCAAAATTTTGAGATGACGTCATTAAGTTTTTGGAAGGGATCACGCATTTAATGTATGAATGTGTAAAGAAAAATGCGCCTTCGGCGTTTATGGGGGCGTCGGTGGTGAAACAGACACCGGCAATAACCATTGTCAGTCAATAAAGTGCGTCCATTTCATGCTAACACATCCTCGGAGCACAGTCAAGAGGAATTCCATACTTCTGCTGTCACTTATCCTCTCTAAGTGAATTAATCTTCTTTATATATGGGAACCGGAGACGGGAAGGCATCATTAACATGTGATTCTTACAAGAATAGTAGTTATTCTCGTTGTCCTGCTGAAAGATGGCTTCTGCTACAGTATATACATATTCCCTAGTAGTCAGACTATCTCCAATAAATTAACATCAAGAAAGTTAGAAGTGCGCTTGCGAAACTATAACCGACCTGTCCAGATGATAACCGCACTTATACATAAATCAAACCGATAATTAATTTTTATGACGGCGATTAATTAAATATAAAACTGAATAAAGGCGACGTGTGGATTGATACGATACGAATCTACAATTTCCGTGGCGAATCTAATGAATGTAAACATTTTCCACTTGAGGGAAAATTTTATGTGGTCGTCTGATAATATTCATGGAATTGTCAGTTGAAAACCTACTTTATGAATTTCAATTAAAATAGGTATGTAAATACAGGGCGAACACGGTACTTGTTTTACTCTTAAAAGCGAACTTGTCATGATTATTCATCGACTGAATTTACATACAGTAGTAGCACGTTAACATTTGTTCAATCTGAATGAGGAGTTTTAACAAGTTTATAAGCTCTTAGAAGGTTTCCGGAGATGGGTTTTGCAGTATTTACATTTTGCAGTGAATTTTAATGAGCGGATTGCCAATTATGGAACGACGCGAAATTCGGGTTTGGGAGGGAAACGAAACGGTTTTTTATTTCCAACTTTCTTAGTACTTTTTTAATAACGACAGTTTTAATTGCTGTTTACTAAGACGTTTTTCTCGGTTTTCTGTGTTCATATGACTTTATTTAGTAATTATTGCCTGTACACGACGTTTCAGACTCCTCGTATTCCTTCTACGATTAGCAATTGACACTAATAATTGCCTCTGTAAAAGTACAAACGACAAACTACTTGCAATTAGTCCGGTTGTTTCTTCCCGGGTACCGCTATCACCCTGAGAACCAAAATTCTAGGACAACTATATCAGTCCGTATTTATATATTTTTTTAATTTTATTTACTGAATACTGTTAATTTAAAAAAAATAAACCTATATTCTATGAGTTTTACCGGATTTTCGACTTTTGTCGTCGCTAGATAAATTAAAGCAATTAACAAGTTTTACGATTATTTTATATTCTAGTGCATCGTTTAACAAAAACATTAAAAGTTAATAAATAAACTAATAATGTTGCAATAATAATGCAGTTACATGTGAAATATCACCACTATTAAATTGTACCGTTATTGGTACCTCCTCACCGCCGAAAATCTTATTAATTTTTTAGACACGAAGTAGTCCAAATATAGCCAAGTAGTTCTAATTCTTTTTTCGTTTTTTTCTTATTTTTTAACCGTATCTATTAAGTTTGAAATCTATTTTTGTGAGTTAATTTAGCTAGCGGTTACTTGCGACACAACAAATTTAAATTTGTAGCCAAGTAGTGTATGACATTCCCAGCTCCCACTCTTAGTTTAACCCAGCCAGTAGTAACAAAAATCTTTTTATTGATACCAATTAACACCAATTTTCGCAGTCCAACAACTCGCAATAGAATCTAAAAACCTGCGCCAATTTGCATTCTTTGCACAATAACGCATTATGTAACGTTCCTGAGTCCAAGTTCAGTGTTCCCCGTCATTGTGAAAAGAATAGCAGCTGGTTCAGCTTCGTTTAGCTCCGTAATCAAGCTTTGAGCTCGTTTTGTAAATATGTAATTATGTAAATTGTACATAAAAGTGCACTGTATATAGACTGCACAATGGTATGTATATTTCAGATCTGGCCTTGTATCCGCCACCGCCGAGTTATACTCGTCTGTATCAGTATCAGTGCTACCCTAGCCCACCGGGGTACTACTCCACACGGTACCTTCCAGGTCTGTACATATGCATGGTCATTGTTTGGCATGTAAACATTTTCTTGCACGAGTAGATGTAGATCATGCGAGGTTTTAGCACCTGTTGTGTCTTTTCGTCTTTCCTAAATAAACACTTCCGTTTTCACACTAACACGTATATTGTTGATAAGGGTTTGTGTAAATAGAATTCGTTCTAGGCAACTGAGGTCCCAAGTTATGAAATTTAAATGAAGATTTTTTTTCAAGAAGGTCGCTGAACGTGATATTAATAGGGCATAAAAACACGATCAAAGGTGAAGATTTGTCCCTGATTGAATTTTGGTACTGTCAGTTTACCATCAATTTGAAGGTTTGAGTTGAAAATCAAAGACAAATCTTCAAAAATCTATAACCGTTTTTGATCGTATTTTTTCTTGCTCTCTTGGTACCACCTGAAATAATGAGATTCTTAAATCTTAAAAAATATATAGTTCTACTTAACCCGATGTTTTTTGTCGTTCCTGAATAAACACTGTCGTTTTCACACTAATGAGGATTTATGTCATTAAAACTCGTTCTAGAACAAGTGAGGTCCCAAATAATGAAAAACCGAAGTTTATTCTTAAATGAAAATCAGTTTTATCTTAACAAATACTAGGACCGTCCACCCGCCCTTTACTTCCTCAGAGGGTAGTACTTGCTAGTACTTGCTAAGATAAGTCTTATTTTGGCAAATCACTTATCCTCTGAGAAAATAGGGGCGGGTGGGCGGGGCTAGTACTTGCTAAGATAAGACTGATTTTGGCAAATGCAGTGCCCTCTGAGAAAATAGAGAGGGGGTAAAGAAAGTTATATTGCAATTATTCTATTCAGTTTTAAATTTTTTCACCACAAGTACTAGAGTATCTTATTTTATAAAATTTAAAAAAACTTTAAATTACTCTATAAATTTTGGAGATGACGTCATCAAATTGTTGGTGGGGATAATTAGCCAAATTGTGGTTAGTATTTAACCATCTACATGATATTTCTAACATATGTGCAAAATTTGACAACAATCGGTCCAGTTTCGACAGACCGGGACTGAAGTGGCAATTCGGCGCTTACGCTCGGTAAGTAACAAGATGAAAGACAACCATGGATTTTTGAAGATTTATCTTTGATAGGATTTTAGTCTTGTCAGATTGCTTAGTTCAATTTTCATGGTTCCTTAAAAAAGGTTTTCGTTTTTACACCAATATGTAAATTGTTCATGAGGATTTAAGTATGTTAATAAAATTCGTTCTAGAACGACTGAGGTCCCACAAAATGAAAAATTAAACTTGCTTCTTAAATGAAGATTCTTCTTAAACAGGTTAAACGTGATCTTCATCTGTGGATGTAAATTTAAGATTATACACAGACTAATATATAGAAACACGATCAAAAACAATCATAGATTTTCTGAAGATTTGTCTTTGATAGAATAGAATTGTCTTTTTGTCAGATTACCGTCAATTTCAAAGTTTGAGTTGAAAATGCAACAATCAAAGACAAGTCTTCAAAAATTTACGGCCGTCTTTGAACGTGTTTTTTGTTTCTCTTTTGGTACTTTCTGAAATCATGAGATTCTTAAATTTTTAAAAATAAGTATAGTTCTACAATACCTGCTGTATTTTACGTCGTATTTATTTCAATAAAATTGGTTCTAGAGAAACTGAGGTTCGAAATAATGAAAAATTTAACATGGTTCTTAAAACAAGATTTTTTACAAGAAGCACCCTAAATGTCATCTTCACCTGTAGATGGGGATTTATTATATAGAACAAGCAACAATAAAAAACATGATCAAGAACCAATCATGGGGTTCTAAAAATATGTCTTAAATAGTAATTTCGTCTTGTCAGATTGCCGTTAATTTCAAAGTTTGAGTTGAAAATGGAACAATCAGAGACAAGTCTTCAAAAATTCATGGTCGTCTTTGGTGGTGTTTTTTGTTGCTTCCTCGATACAATCTGATATGATAACATTTTTAAATCTAAAAAAATAGTTCTACAGTATCCACTGTATTTTTCGTCGTTACTTAACTAGGCTTTCCTTTTTCCACTAAAACGTATACCTATTGTTAATACGAAAGATGTTTATAAAATTAGTTCTAGAACAACTGAAGTACCCTAAACGTGACCTTCAGCTATGAATGGAGATTTATTATACCGAGAGAGCAATAAAAAACCAGATCAAAGACAACAATGGATTTTTGAAAATTTATCTGTAACAGAATTTTCGTCTTATCAGATTACAGTCAATTTGAAAATTTGAGTTGAAAATGCAATAATCAAAGACAAATCTTCAAAAATTCACGGCGGTCTCTGATCGTGTTCTTTTAATGCTCTCTCTGTACAATCTGATAATGAGAATCTTAAATCTTGGTATTATCCGTCGTATTTTTAGTCGTTTCTGAAAAAACTTTTCATTTACATCAATAAAATTCGTTCTAGAACAACTGAAGTCTCAAATAATTAACGTGCTTCTCACATGAAGATTTTTTTCAAAAATCACCCCAAACGTGATTTTCACTTGGGAATCTCGAGCAATAAAAATACGATCAATGACAGCCATGAATTTTTAAAGGTTTGTCTTTGATAGAATTTTTTTTTTGCTCACTGTGTACAATCTTGATAACGAGAATCTTAAATCTTAAAAAACTGGTCTAGACTACCCATTGCGTTTTTAGTCGTTCCTTAATAATTTTTTTCGTTTTCTCATCAATACATATGGTGATAATGAGGAATTGTGTTAATAAAATTCGTTCTGGAATAACTGAGGTCCCAAATAATGAAATTTAATGTGCTAATTAATGAAAATTTTTCTCGAAAAGTACCCTGAACGTGATTTTCAGCTGTGGATGTCGATTTATTATAGCGAGAGAGCAATAAAAATATGATCAAAATCAGCTATGGGTTTTTGGAACATTGGTCTTTGACAGAATTTTCGTCTTGTCAGATTATCGCCAATATGAAAGTTTGAGTTTAAAATGTAGCAATCAAAGGCAAGTTTTCAAAAGTCCATGGTCCTCTTTGATAATGTTTTTTTTGCTCTCTCTGTACAATCTAACGACGAGAATCTTAAATCTAACCAAAATGGTCCAGATTATCCACTGTATTTCTAGTCGTTCCTTGATAAAATCCTTCGTTTTCACACTAAGACGTATAATTTTAATGAGGAATTATGTCAATGAAATTCGTTCTAGAGTAAATGAGGTCCCAAATAACGAAAAATTTAATATGTTAATCAATGAAGATTTTTCGCAAGAAGTACCGTGAACGTGATATTCTGCTGTAGAAGTCGATTTATTATACCGACAGAGCAATAAAAATACGATCAAAGACAGCTATGCATTTTTTGAAGATTTGTCTTTGATAGAATTACCGTCAGATTACCGTCAATTTGAAAGTTTGAGTTGAAAATGCAACAATCAAAGACAAATCTTCAAAAGTCCATAGCCTCATTTGACCATGTTTTTTGTTGACTGTCTGTACAAACTGATACCGAGAATCCCAAATCATAAAAAAATAATCTACATTATCCGCTGATGGCAGCCATCAATTTTTGAAGAGTTGTCTTTGATAGAATTTTCGTCTTCTTAGATGACCGTCAATTTGAATGTTTGAGTTGAAAATGCATCAATTAAAGACAATTCTTCAAAAATCCATGGCCACATTTGACCATGTTTTTTGTTGACTGTTTATCCACTGAAGGCAGCCATAGACTTTTGAATATTTGTCTTTGATACAATTTTTGTCTTGTAGGATTAGCTTCAATTTGAAAGTTTGAGTTGAAATTGCAACAATCAAAGACAAATCTTCAAAAATCTATAGCCGCCTTTGAGCGTGTTTTCTGTTCGTCTCTCTGTATAATTTGATACCGAGAATCCTAAATCATAAAAAAATAATTTAGATTATCCACTGAAAGCAGCCATAAATTTTTGAAGATTTGTCTTTGATAGAATTTTCGTCTTGTTAAATTACAGTCAATTTGAAAGTTTCAGTTGAAAATGCAACAATCACAGACAAGTCTTCAAAAGTGCATGGCCGCATTTGACCGTGTTTTTTTGTTGTCTGTCTGTACAATCTGGTAGCGACAATCCTAAATCATAAAACATTAATCTATATTATCCGCTGAAGGCAGCCATAGACGTTTGAAGATTTGTCTTTGATAGAATTTTCGTCGTGTCAGATTACCGTCAATGTCAAAATTTCAGTTGAAAATGCAACAATCAAAGACAAATCTTTAAAGATCCATGGCCACATTTGACCGTGTTTTTTTGTTGTCTCTCTGTACAATCTGGTACCGAGAATAATACTAAATCATAAAAAACTAGTCTACACTGACCACTGAAGATTTTTGAAAATTTGTCTTTTGATAGAATTTTGGTCTTGTCAGATATCCGTCAATTTGAAAGTTTGAGTTGAAAGTGCAACAATCAAAGACAAATCTTCAAAAGTCGATGGTCGTATTTGACCATGTTTTTTATTGCCTGTCTGTACAATCTGGTACCGAGGATCCTAAATCATGAACAAATAATCCACACGTATCCGCTGAAGGTAGCCATAGACTTTTGAAGATTTGTCTTTGATAGAATTTTCGTCTTGTAGGACTAGCTTCAATTTGAAAGTTTGAGTTGAAATTGCAACAATCAAAGACAAATCTCCAAAAATCTATAGCCGCCTTTGAGCGTGTTTTCTGTTCGTCTCTCTATATAATTTGATACCGACAATCCTAAATCATAAATAAAATAATCTAGATTATCCACTGAAGGCAGCCATAAATTTTTAAAGATTTGTTTTTGATGGAATTTTTGTCTTGTTAAATTACGGTCAATTTGAAAGTTTCAGTTGAAAATGCAACAATCACAGACAAGTCTTCAAAAGTACATGGCCGCATTTGACCGTGTTTCTTTGTTGTCTGTCTGTACAATCTGGTAGCGACAATCCTAATTCATAAAACAATAATCTATAATATCCGCTGAAGGCAGCCATAGACTTTTGAAGATCTGTCTT